TTACGAAAATTAAAATTTTGTCATGTAGAAATAGATATGGAAAAGTCTATGATTTATTGTCAGCGAATTTAATATTTAAAATAACATATGTATACAATAAAAAAGCGCATGATTTTGCTCCGGAATTAAATTTTAAGATCCGGAATTAGATTTTAATATTCATATAGTGTAAATTTTTCTATTATATTTACAAAATAATTCTGATAATTATATTATTGATTTTATTACGCGCATTTTAATATTTGAAAAATTCAATTACAGCGATTCTGTATATTCTTTGCAATTCCTAGACTAATTTGCATTGTGCAATAATTATTTTGATAGCATTTCTGACATTTGTTATGAATTTGTAAAATGTATTGTCATTATATTCTTTGATTCAAATATCCATCCATTATTTTTCTTTGTTGCATTTTTTACGCATTTTAACAGAATTTCTAATTTTATCTTTTACGTTTGTTTTCTGTGCAATTGCTTAAGACTTACAGATAAGCAGCACGTTTCTATGTTAAAACGTCATCATAACTAGACTAAAAAAAAGGATGCGTAATACTCTATTGTACAATACATGGTTTTGGATAATATTATGGGGAATTTTCTGGAATGCGGTATCATATAAAAATATCTTCATAAAAATCAGCATGACTCGCTTTTTCTTTCATTTTTATTATATAAATATGCAATCCCAAAATTAAACCATTTTATATTTATATAAATTTGAATTATTTAATATTAACTTTTGATAAATAGAAAAAGAATAAATTTGGCATATTGTCGAGAGCTCGATATACTAAAAGAAATAAATTAATTACATGCACGCTTTTAGAAGACTTTTTGTGACGGTAATAAGTCCAACTCTCGCAACGTACGATTGTTGCAATATGTAAAATGTCCTTTACGATTTTCAAGTGCGCATCGCGATGTGCACTTGATTATGCAATGACCAGAACAGAAGTAAACAAAAACAACTTACAACTTTCTTTGGAGACAACAATTGTGAATGAAACGTAAATTCTGTTAAAAATTATTGATCTCTCTGAAAATTTTATGATTTTTATTTAAATCTAAGTAATACTCTATTAATTATTATTTATACGTTAAATATATCTATATTTCTCTTGCATAGTAAAAAAATCTAAGTCTCGCTTTGCAGATTATGACTCATGCTGATTTTTATGAAGATATTTTTATATGATACTGTGCACGTATTCCAAAAAAATTCCTCGTAATATTGTGCAAATTTACCGTAAGTCGCGCAGTAATAGGGTGCAGTTACGCATCCTTTTTTTAGTTTTATACGATGACATTTTAACACAGAAACGTGCTGCTTATCCGTAAATCGTAAGCAATTGCTCACAAAAAACAAATGCAAAAGATAAAACCTTCACCATTGTTATGTTGTCAGTTACATGCACGATATTTGCAAGTAGAATTTCAAATGAAATACATATGCCTCGCGTTGCACGTTGCAAGCCATGTTTCTCTTGAGAGAAGAAAATCAACTTTCAAAGCTCATTCCGTAAATCAGCTTTTGATTCTACATGAAACTCGAGCTTTCTGCTTCAAGGCTCTTGCACCAAAAATGCACCGTTTTTAGAATAATACAGATTGTATAAAATTTCCTAATAAAAAATTGTTATCTATTGCATATTTTTTGTCAATCTAAAAAAAATATCATTTAACCAAAAAGACAAAACCTATAAAAATACTTAATATTTAAAAACCTCTCGAATTTTGTTTATCAAATATACGTATATTTATCATATTTTTAAAAAAGTAAATTTCAAAAAAATTGTTTAACGAAATAAATATATTATACAGAATATTTCGAAATTGGCGAATCAAAATACCACAGCAAGAAAGTTTAAAAATAAAAGTTATGAAAGTGCCATTTTTTAATCATTTAATTATAATCTTTTAAACGAGAACTTTCTTGTTATAATACTTTAATTTGTGAATTTTAGGGCATTCTGCATACAATATAATAACAGAATAATAATAAAATTATATTATAAAAGTGGAATTAAAATATTCTTATTATCCAATCTTATCTGCATGTTGCATTCACTTTTTACATCTTGTCTCTTATGCTAATTAAACTAACTAGATCAATTGAATTTATTTTTTTTATATTAAAACTGAATGCAATTTAATCAATATAATAGTGTAATAGTAATATGTCTCTGTCAGAAGTAGGTCATGATATCGGGTAAGTAATCGATCTGTCGACAACACGAATTTACAACTGGCTGACTGCTGAGAAACTGCTTATATTTCTTTTTCTTTATCTGATTTTGCACGATCAAATTGATGCTGACGTATCACAAGTACCATTTTCTAAGATTGAGTTATAATCTTATGAAGAATAACAAATAACAATGTACATATGTGCATCGCGCGCGACTCATGAAACTGACTCATGATATGCGATGCTTTTACAAAATAATATTGATAAAACATTATGAAATATTTATTTTAGATATAAATAAACCTATAACTACAAATCTACTAAAAATCTTTGAGACGTCACATTGATATATGTCTCGTTGCAAGTTATAATGACTCAAAATTCATTTTCAAGCAACCAAATCGCGATATTCATTCAATGTTTGACAAATAAATAACGTTTGATAAATACATAGCATAACAACTAATGTTTTATGTTCGAGAAAGATAGTTCCTGATCGCATAAGTATTAAAGTTTTCACAAGAGAAAAAAAATGTAAGACATTATTTTTAATGTCTTTTTTTTCGCAACAAGCTTTACAGAGAGCCGTAGTCGATGAGTTCGCCAAAAGATGAGCACTGATATAATCATAATCGTATCAAAATGAGATCAAGGCTCACTCAAACATTATTTATATTCCTTTTTCTCTCTTTTCTCTATGAATCACGCGTTGATATCACAGTGGTTATCATCGAATGGTCTCTTCATATAGTTGCTATAGCAGAGTAGATATAACGGTATTACTGATTATGAATTGTGTTGAATATCATATTATACTTATATACCCGATATAAATTTTCCATCAGAGTTAGTCACGAACGTTTAATATGATGTGCATCATGCCACATACATAATTATATTTCAATTCACTATATTTTCCGCTAAACTACAGACATTAACTTTTTTTTCATGCTATTTACTATTATAATTATATATTCTATATTTATAATTTATAGAAATAATATTTATAATTCCATACTATATACTAAATTGTAGATATTGACTGTTTTTTACACTATTTAATTTTTACCCTTTACTAAAAGTAATTAATTAATTTTTGATTTTTAATTAACATCACGATATTTACGATCATTTGTTTCTTTTTCTGAATTATATAATTATAATTTAAATAAATTATTTGCAGCGTATATAACGAGTAATGTAACAAAAAGTCTTTATTTAATTATTGAAAGAATTTTGTTACATATGTCGAAATATGAAATATATACTTTATAATTTCTTAAAATTACCATTAAAAATTTTTTGGTTTATCTTATATTATTGAAAATCTTATTGATCTTGATATTTGACTCTTTACTACTCAACTGATCCGACTCATACTTTATCTCGGTAAAGCTAAGATGTTTATTGCCGAAAACATAATTTGAAAAAGTTAAATCGTTTTTGAGAAATCTTGCAGACCGATAATTGGACGGTCGAAATACTGAAATTGTAAAGAAATTTTTTAAACTTTACGTCGATTCATGCTCACGATGGCGATGATAAAAATTAATTTATCTTTCTAACTTCGCAATATTTATTAAATAATACAGCGTAATAATAATAAATATTTTTTCGAAGTTAGAAAGATGAATTAAATTTTTACCGATTTCTACGTAGACAATTTTTAAGAAAAAAAATTCTTGGCATTGCAAATTTTCCGTATGACCTAAATAATATGCGATATAGATAATATCAAAGCGAGTCAATTGCATCGAAAACACAAGTTCTGATGTACACGCAATGAAACAACATTTATACTTCATTTTGTCGCATAAACTCGCTTCAGACTTATCTTCGTCTACCATACATATTTGCAACGATACGTCACAAGATTTATGATTTCCCTCGTCGATGCATCTTCACATATCGCACATATTTTATTCCTTTTGCCATAATATTTTTTTCTCTTTAATATATTTCTAATAGATTCCAAAAAAATTTTCTTTAATCTAATTCCAAAGCCGAATTAAGAATCTTTATTTACTACAAAATGTACTGAAAAATATTAGAAGTATGATTTAGTTTTGAGGATTTTTTTCTCAAAATCTAATATAAACAATCACGTAAACATTTAATAACTGTTGTACGATCAACATTTAATTCTCTGGCAAGTTCTGAAATGGATTGTAGTGGATTTTCATCCAATAATGCTTGTAAATCTGCATCCAACTTTTGTCATTAACTTGAGGTCTTCGACAGAATCAATATTTACATGTTTAATTGATGGAGCAACATTACCATAACTTCTATCAGAATTTTATGACCTTCAGTTACCGTTTTCTTCTGATTAAAAAACAAAGGCAACGCATATCGAAAATGCTCTTTAGGAAGCTCCATTTTTTAAATGGTATAAACACGAAGTTTACTGCGCCTATTATTAGTAAACGACTAAATATCACGGAGTAATATTAAAGCATTAAGAAATAATAGCTGTGATTGGAAATGTTTTCGACAACACTGATATTAGTGCCATCTGTTGCAAAACTCTCAAAACTAAATCACACTCCTAATATATGAGGCTCATAATTGAACTTATAATTATCTTAGATACTTAATTAATGAGACTGTCGTATTTATTTGAACACTTTTATTTTTCTACATTTTTTAAACATACTTTTTACCACACCAAGAACAAAAAGAATGTTAATTAACATTTGTTCTGATCACTCGAGATTGATAAAATTCTTTTTAATATTCTATTTGTCTAATCTATGTATAAAATAAATCCATTGTGAACTATTAATTTTACTCTTATTACTTTTTATTACAGAAAACGGTGGTACTTTGAAGATTCTTTTGAGTTTTGCTGTGGGTGCATTGTTGGGCGATGTTTTCCTACATCTTCTACCGGAAGCATACGAAAGTGAATTTCAAACGAGAGGTAATTTAATTTATATTTTGTATCCTTTCGTGTGCGCAACAATATAATTGAATGTATCTATCTTATCTATAAGGAAATCTATCTTATCTATATAAGGAAATTTTAACGTAAAAGATATTATAATACAGCATATCACTTATTGATAAGATTGATCTTATCGTAAAAAAATACAAAAAAAAACGATTACAACGCGCGAATGAATAGAATTGTTTATGGAGAATAATAAGTAGAAGTAAAAAAAAAACAAATCTATTACGTATAAAATTTACATTCATACACAATAAACGAATAAATAAAACGAGATGTATATGTCGTGCAAAAACTAACTAGCAAAAATACGTTACCGAAAATAGCGAATAGCCTAGATTGTTTACATTAATGAACCTTTATCCTGATATTTTTGTCATCGCGAAATCTGCTCAGCGCGAATGGAACGTGAATATCTGGTATTTCTGGATTGTTCTATGTAATATCGCACGCGTATTACATATGTGCTCTGAATGCGTTTTGCAATATTCTGCACGTTAGCAGAATACAGCTGCGGTCTCGAAGGGCATCACCGTGAGCTTTATGAACGATTTAAGCGGCGGCTTCGAACTCTATTGTGCGTCAGTTGCAGATCTGAATTGCCAGCTGCGTCCACGTAAATTAAATGTCCTTCCGACCAAACCGCGGTAGGAATTCGAGGTGATCGACGGACTGGTAATATCCGTGTAAATTGCTCAATTTGAATTGCAAATTTCCTAACTTTCATTTTATATTTCTAACGCCTTTATTACTAGTAGAAAAGAATACCGTGATAAGTTCCATAATTTAAATGAATAAAAATTCATTAAGAAAACAATATAATTATATAGCTATATGGATAAAGCTTATTTATTAATATTACGAATGCAATGAAAATTAAATAAATAGTGCATTTTCATATGAACTGATTATAAATCGTAACATTTGACTTATTCTTGAATTCTTTTTATTTATATTCAACTTATTAATTTTACGTATTTTATTTGCAGCTAAAAATAATCACGCATCTACACCTGCAGGCTTATGGGTGTTGTCCGCCTTTCTGTTCTTCGTAATCGTTGAAAAACTCATCGCTACTGTAAACGAAGAAGCTCCGATCATTGTAGAACAGCAGACTGATGAAACTCTGATCAAGGATATGAATAAAGAAAAAGAAATGGATAATAATAATTGTATCACGATGACGAGCACTAAGAAAAATAATTTATTAAAAAAATGCTTGAAAAGTACAACCGAGGTAAATAATGAGAAAAAGGCTCTATTGTAATTATAATATTAAAAATTAGTATATGTAAGAAGTAGACTTTCAAAATGCGTTTTGTACAAAATTTATAATTTTCAGAAAACTAGGAAGAAAGCAACAAGAAAACTGCACACCTCATAGAAAATAATAATTTACTAATCAGTAAAATGTGAAATGTTAAAAATTGCTAAACAAAATTGCTAAAAATATTAAATACATTTTGTTTGTCTTTAGTTAAAGAACATAATGCATTTCGAATGTCAAGATTTTTTCAAGATAAATTGTGATGTAGAAATGCTTTCAGAACATTGTAGAGTAACTAACTTAAAGTATGAGTCTCTCAACACTGAACATCATGCCATCTTTCTTCACTCAAAAAATGAAATTTTGGACAAAATGCATTGGAAGTCTACTCTTTATGTGTATATAGGGAAGAATGGCCTAAATCGGACTGTATTCCAAATAGGACTTTTTCAATGTAAATGAATACAGTTAAGCAGATTTGCGAACTATTTATAATGTAAAATCCTTATAAAACACTGAACATGTGACAGTAATTTGACAGTTGTCATAACATTCATAGAATAGAAGCATGTATTTTCAGCAATCGTGATTAAAAAAAAATCTTTGTAATCATTATTTAAAAGGTGTTAAAAATTTGAAAGGTAATTGATTTAAGATAATTAAAGAATACAGAATTCAAAAATATCAAGCGTTTTGTGATCACTTTTATTATAATGATTTATTATAAAATTTGTTCGAAAAGATTTGGTGTTTAAATCGGACCTCTTTTTGGTGTTCAAATCGGACTTATCCTAGTACAAATAACTTATAGACTTGGTTGTAGTATTGATGATCAGCCGACCAGATCTAATTCAAGAAATTAAATCAGTAAAATATCATGAGTCATCAGAATTAAATTAATTTTATTTATGACTTCAATTCTAATAATATAAACTCTCAGTAATTTTTTTTTCTGAATAAAATTTTTATCTTTGACTGTCAAATTGCTTGTTTTTATTCAATACTAACAAAAATGCATTAAAATATTTTAAAATTCTATCTAAAAGTCCATAAAAACAGGAGTCTCCGGTTTGGACTAGGAGAATCAATAATTTCAAATTGGACTGGAAAAAATGTGTTTACATTTTCCATTATAGTTCAACACAGGTGAGAGATGTGTCAAAATTATCTCAAACAAAAATGAAGAGAATTAAATGATCTTTCCAACATTTTCAGTTTTACGATCGGACTTTATTTACGTCTTATAGAGAGCAAAAACTGCAAATAGGTCCGATTTATCTCATTCTTCCCTAGATATATATGTATATACTTTTTTCCTCTACATATGTATATACTTATTTTAATACTTTTATATCTCAAAAAAGTCAGACATCTGAATATCTCGGAAAATATAAATTTAACAGACAAGTGTTTCAGACAAAATTTCTTTTTTTAAACGGTGTGATTTTTTTTATATATATATTGTAATATGATTCAATTATTCTACATATTAAAAAGCCAATAGTTTACGAGATATTTTATGCTTTATTCTGGCACATATTGACATAAAATATTTCATATAATAAATATTTTTCGTATATTAAATATTTCGTAAACTATTATTTTATAATTATATCTTAATTTTATTTCTAGAAGTGAAGAGAATGAAATTTTGAACTAAAAGTTCCTTTCCTAATTTTGGATCAGACCATTATTACTGATTGTAAGTTATTAACGATTGAAGTTAATAAGTCAATCAGATTAGGCGTGCAGCCGGAGCACGCAAAAGCGCAGCATAGAGTTCCTCGCGTTTACTATACAAAATAATAAAATTAATCAATTGGTATATTGAAAAAAAACACATAATTTAAAATATACATTTTGCCTATATATTTTTTCTAAAAAAATTATGTTTTCATCTTTACACCAATTTATTTATTTCATTATGCCATTCATAAAAGAGTAAGGTACAATTATAAAAAAATTAATTTTACGAGACTTTACTTTATATTTAATATCAATATGTATCAGAATAAAGTATAAAATAAATTATTTTTTGATATCTCTCTTTTAATATTTTTATATGCAGAATAATAATTGGGGAAATCATTATTACTTAATTATAAAGGTATCATGTTATGTAATATAAAAAAAAACACAATTCCTTTTTAAAAAGTAGAGATGGACTTTTTTGATGTCTCCACCTAGAAAAAAAATAACGTCTTTGAAATCGTTCTTCTTTCATCTAAAACATTTTTTTGCATTTTATATATTTTTTAAGATATTTGTCTGAGACAATTAAAATGGGATGCTTTGTGTATGAGTATACATATAAATATATAAAATAATTTTTCATATTAAATGACTCTAAATCAATAAATATGTAGATAAATATATAATGAATTTATCCATTTGAATCTACTCATTTATTAATTTATTCATTCATCTATTTATTATTATGAAAAATTTTAATAAAATTTTAATTGGGAAAATATACACAGTAAGCGCGAGAAGCTTTGTGCTGCGCTTCTGCGTACTTCGGTTGGACATAATCTGACTTTAACTTTAATCATTAATAACTCAGTAATAATGATCTGAGCCAAAATTAGAAAAGGAACTTGTTCAAAATTTTATCTCTCTTTAGTCCCAGAAATATTAATTAATAGTTATGGAAGACTCTATGTGTGCGTGCGTGCGTGCGTGCGTGCGTGCGTGCGTGCGTGCGTGTGTGTGTGTGTGTGTGTGTGTGTGTGTGTGTGTGTGTGTGTGTGTGTGTGTACCCAAGATAAAAAAATAAGTGGACTTTTTGAATTACTTGGCAACGGAACGTCCTAGTGATGTGCAGTTTGCATTACAATCGTTATTATAATCTTTCGAGTAACTGGGTTTTTTAAAATTGTTTACATCTCGTTTAGTTTGAGTTATTGCTATTTGAGTGTAACATGTTTTA